AATGTAAAAAAAAATGTATATATATAATTAGAAAACTATTATACCTATTACCTATATATATATATGAGTAACTGACAAAGTGACTATATTGGAAGGATTCTTTAATTTGTCCTTTTTTCCAGCCAAATTTATCCATCTTTTTTACTTATTGTTCTAGTTTGTAATGGATTGCAAAGTGTATTGTAAATACAAAAATGAATATAATCAGAAAATCAAAATATTTGACACGCATGTAGTATGTAGTATGTAGACACAAATTAAAAAAATTTGAAAAAAAAAGTATGGTAATTTAACACCTTTTTGACGTCCAGATAACCATTTGAAATCAGAGACAGTGTTTAGATAACAGGCGTCATAAATGTAGGGCTGCAATATTTTATTTTACTTAGGCTGAAAATGTTTGTTATAAGGGATAAATTTTACCCCTTGTCCACGGTCAACCGTCAGTTTATTTTAACATTCTAATTTTCCGAAACTGAAATACCAAACACAATAGCTGGCACCCATTGATATACCTTCATTATGTAAGGTAAAAATCATAGATAAGTATATGGAGAAATATGATATACCATTATCTATATTCTATACGGGAAAATCAATGATGAAATGAATTCGTTACAAAGCCAGAAAAATAATATTAAAAGAGATTTGGCCATTTAATACTTAAATCATATTAATTACCTTATTATTTATCAAAACAATATGGTTTTAAACTAGAAATATTTAATAAAAGACTAAATACTAACATAAATAATTTAAGTTTAATAGTTTAATTCTGATACAATTTGCCGCCCGAAATATTTGATCAGGATACCACACAATAAATTAAATACCAAAAGTCACAGCAAAACTGGGATGCATAGCAACCCAAAATTCTGTATGTTAAAGAATTCTGCCAAAATTAATAAAATTTAAATACTCTCAATATGATTGTATGCCTAAAATAAAATGTATCATTACATGTTTGTACATAATTAATACACATTAGATGATTGAATGTCAATGTAAATATTTTTTATAATAAGAAAATATTTACATTATGATACAAAAACACTGTTTTAGTTAATTTATTTGTTATATATTAATGAAAAAAATAGTTTATTTGAATATACATGTACAGATATAATACTTTAAATAAATTTTAATGGTGCATATAAGAAAACTTAATATGTAATAAAAGCTTTAATGAAATTATGATCATACTATTTTTAACTTGTATGGCTAAATGTAAACAAAAATGATATGGAGGCTCACTCTCTGTGTTCGTATGAAAAATCAAATTATTAAGTTTTAAGTTATTCAGATCACAATGTTAATCTACAAAATACTACATAATGCATAAAATATACAGATGTTGGTACAAATCTACCACAATAAAACATGTAAATAATAACATTTTTATTTGTACAATTAATATCGATTTAATTTTAAGTATAAAGTAAAGAAAATACTATTGCTAAATTTAAATTTAGATTTAAATACAACAACAATAACAACCCACCTATAATACCCATAGATAAACAATATGAAAAAAATAATTAAACAATAAGTAGATAATATTTGTATAAATTATCAACTACAATTTGTTGAAGCTCATTTAAACTATCTTATACCATCATTTTTCTTCTAATGATTTCTATAACATTATTTTTTAAGTATACCTACACAACTTATAATTTAGTATTTATATATTTACATAAATGATATTATATAATATGTATATTATTTAAAATAGTAATAGTAGGTAAAAAAAAAATGAAAATTATAAAATCAACAAAAGTTTAGTAGAAAACTATAATTTATTTGATAAACAATTCCACTGAGATTAATATGACTAGCATACCAAAAATGTTAAATATCGCATCAAATGTAAGAAATTTGTTCATATTAAGTAGTATCGATTTACTCAAACTTATACACAACTATACTTCCAAAGGAAATTAGGGAAATGAGTATTGCTGCCAATAAATAAATAAAAGATAGTGATGGGTGTTAATATTAAATCTTGCTATTTATAAGTGTCAAATTTTATCGTAGTAATCAATCTATTTTGTTGGTGTAGTTACTAGATTGTGTGCATTTGTTCCTTAAAATTAACTAGGTATATAAACATAAATAACATACTCATAACTTAAAACAGTTAAAACTCTTAACATAAAACTAGGTTATGACTAGTTTTGCCAAACTTTATCAAGGGTACAATCAGAGATCTTGGCCTTCGCAAAAAAAAAAATACAATGGCATCCATAGGCTTAATAAAAACTTATTGATTATTTATTTGTATTTTTTGAATAGAAAAAATGTTAATGTTAAATTGTTTAAAATGTATTCATGAGATTTTTAACACAATATTTTATAATTAAGGATATTCAAAACCACAATCCGATTAGCAGATCTTCAAATGTAAAATAACCATTACTTATTTTGATAAATAGTTTGAACTCATTTTCTTTAAATAAGATTTGAGCATTTATAATAGTCAAGTGTTGAGTATTTAAAATTTCAAAAATTATAACAAACCATAGAGTTGTCAATGATACATACATGTATGTATTATCCATCTGCTTTATTTTTTAATGGCAAGATAGTCTTTCCCTCCCAAAAATCAGATCCAATGCAAATGAACACATTACAGACAGTTATTTACACAGTGACAAGTGGTTTGATTTCCTTATGGACAACATAAAATTTGTACTTGTTGCCAAAAAGCCCCCATATAACTGCAACGTTTTCAATTATTACGTTAAAAGGTATAGTACACAGTGCTCCTATTATGCATAATGTAAATTTTAAAACCCCAAAACGATATAATGAAAAAGATTTCACTACACCAAATATGTACATATATATATTGACACCAGCTATAAATGCACAAACAAAATCCATGATAGCTGGACATGGAATTGGAAAGTATCTAGCTAAAACTAAATTAGAAGTAGACAGTGGCAATGTCACCCATGAATAACATGATAAAGCTAACCAAATTTTTGTTTTTGAAGGAATGGCTGCAGAATGGACTACTAATAGAATACCTTGAAGCCAACGTTTTCGTTGTTGGATGAAATCCCATAATGAAAATGGTGATTTTTCCCACATTTCTCCTTCCACAAAATTGAACGTATAGCCTTCTTTAGCAGCTCGCATTGCAAAAAAACAATCTTCTGCAATTGATCCATCTAAGCCATTATCAAATGAAATATGACGCTCAGCACCCAACTAAAATTTAAAAAAAAAATGTTATTGTTGTTTAATAGTTGAGCAATTTAAATTCAGCATCAAACTCAATTGAGAAAATAAATACATGCTTATAAACAAACTATGGTTATTTGTTTATTCTAGTAAATACATTGAAACTCATATAATTACTTGGGTGACAACATATGATCCTTTCCAGCTAAGAAGTGGCTTATGGAACATTGAAAGTTGAATTCGAAGTTTACCCATATCATCAGCTACTCTAAAACTATCTGCTAATGTTGTGAACCAATTTACTACTTCTTCATTTGCATATGTTATTAGACCCTGGCCAAACTGATGTTTACCATCCAAGACAAAATTTAATACACCTCTAATTGAATTTTCTGTCAATAGGGTTTCCTCGTCTAAATGTACAACCCAATCACAATCTGCCAAAATATTTACATTGTCTTCCAAACAAAATTGAAGAGCTCGTGATTTGAAAAGTGCACCAGTCTTTGTCTTATATGATTTTGGAACAACCACCTCCCTTATACGCCTATGTACAGGAAGTCCAATACTTTTATCAGTCACTACTTCAATAATGAAATTTTCCAATCCTAAAATTTAAAATAATAAATAAATTAGCATTGTATATTAAATGATAAAATAAAAGCTGTATTTAAATTTTACCAGTTTCCAAACATCGAGCCATATTACGGGCAACATTTGCTTTGACTAACTGAGGATAATCTCCTCTCGTAACTATACGTATGCATATAAATGGAGCCAATAGGGGTGATCCTTTTAGGACCACTTTGTCTTGAAAAGCATTATACAGTGTAAGACCGCCAAAATTCAATAATACTTGTGGTAATGGTAAGAAGGTCAAACATCGTAGTAGATACAACATAAAGCACCAAATAAAACCATAGCGTTCCCATGGATTAAAATTATAAGTATTTTGAACATCTGCTGATAGTTTAACACCTCCCGACCAGATTTCAAATATTGATATTACAAACACCAATAAGGTACAATGAAGTACATGTTTGGTCAAACTGCTTAACATAGCTGTAAAATAATAATAACAATAATTACATTCAAATAAATTATATGTCTTCACAATGACTAATATAAAATAATATATGTGTACAAGAGGTAGTAATATATTATAATATAATTAGCCTTGAATAAGTAAATCTAAAAAAAAACCATTATTATTATTAGGTTTAGCTTACCTATACTTATCTATGAAATACAATATCTCAAAAACTAAGCCCGATAATTAGTAAACCCGAATCTTCAGTAGTGTAGTCCTTCTACTGAAATTCAAGTAGGTAGTCCTATGTCGAGATTTTGTGAATCACAGCACAACTGACAATTTGACTATTATAGACATAATGAGCTACACAATATCGATTTAATTAAATACGTATATAAAACTTGACTATACATCATAATATTAAACATTTAACAGATCTTAAACACGAAATGGTATTACTAGAATAATTATAAATTACCCACTACGATTTACAAAAAAAAAAAAAAAATTAGGTATAATAATTATTACATTTATTTATTGTTAGTATCAACTACTATACAACTCCTATAAAAAAAAAATAGGTGTAAAAGAAAATAATTGTATTTGATTATTTGGTGAATTCCGCCCATGAACCAATACCAACGTTACGGTTATCGTCATACGACCGACTACGAATTTAACTTACAACTGTCCGATAGATATCAGAATTCAGATTCCTCGGCAGCGGTTGGTTACTCAGGAATGCGGTCGTCATGCTTATCACACGATTGACTTTAAATAATTAAATTTTAGTTTTAAGGGTGCAAATTATGTGTTTCAAAAATAAATGCCATTGCACAAGTCGTAAAAATATATCGAAGTGTCCAAATGACAATTAATAATTAATTCAATAAAATCATGGTGGTTAGATATTATTGACCCTAGACCATGGTTACTAGTTATTCTTAACCTTTAAATTATTATTAATTTAATGTATAATCACATTCTTCACAACTGATAAGAAAAGAAAATTAAAAATTGATGGATCACAATATTTTAAATTTTAAATTTTAATGATATTTTAGCTAATTGTTCAGGGCATTGGTATTCCTGTCATAATTTTAATAACAGTTGCCAGTTAATTTAATATTATGGCTACACATTATTGTAGTGAGTATTCGAATAATGTTATTGTAACTAATAAATCAAAATAATAGTTTTTAAATTCCTGTGGAAATGTAACTCAACTATTTTGTATTAATTTATTTTTTACATTTTACTTAATATCATTGTGTATTTAATTTTTATAAACATTGTCATTTCTATAATCAATTTATAATTACTAAAACTTAATGTTTAATTATCATTACCTCTTACCTATTCTTCCTCAAAGCTATATAATACTGTCTTATATTCTACTCTTACTACATAATAATGATTTTATATATTTAAAATCTTAATGCAATTTATTTTTTTTTCTTCTATCTTTTTTATCAACAATTTTTGTTTAGGAAAAATATTTGGTAAAAATCTGACTCACAACTTAAAAACTAGAATTTGTCCATCATATCTATCAACATTGCCTAAATCACAACTTGATATTCCACAAGATGTACAATCTCTTCCTGATGGTAAGTTTTCTATTTTACATCATGAATTAGTTATTCTTAATGTTGAACATTTTTATTTCAGAATCCAAATTTAAGTTGTCCAACCCAGATGCTTTTGATGTAAAAAGTATGGTTAGAATTAAAAGCCTATTTGAAGCTGGCGTGCATTTTGGTCATACAGAAGGAACATTAGATGATAGAATGAAACAATATTTGTATGGTAACAGATTAGGACATTTAATTATAGATTTAAATCATACTAAAAGACTTCTACAACAAGCCCTTAATGTAACTGCACATATATCATACAGGTAAATAGAAAAATAAACATCTTATGCGCATGTACCCATATTATGAATTTAACAACTATGAGGACATTGCAACTGCATGTGTTGTCTCCATCTTACACATGTATGACATAGCAAACTTTTGTTCACCAGTTTCAATATTCTGCTGTTAGTTTTAATATTAGAGTGACCTATTATAAAACTTTGAGGTGAGATTATTATCTAGGGCTTCATGCAGGCAAAATTTATACTATTACTTTTAAGTAAGTTATGATCATTTCAAAATGTACAGTTTCAAAAATGTCATAACTGACACATGCGGGTGACATCCTCTTAGTAGATTTATATGCTTTAAATATTCAAACCACTTTATTCATGACTTTTCTCTTATTATCCTTAAGTTAGATAAGTTAAACCTAGACGATAAACAAATTGTTGCTTACTTACAATTTGTACAAAAGCTTAAGAGGAAACTTTACCCGCAGGTGTTGTCTCCGTCTTATGAGAGTGTAACATATCAAATTTGACATCTTATAGCCCATATGTCATGGGCTTTTTATTCTATTTTAATTTTAAAGAGAGTTATGAGTATTTTAAATTATACAAACAATTTATAATTTTAAAATACTCATAACTCTCTTCAAAATTAAAATATAATAAAAAGGCCATAAGAAGCCCTCCATAATAATTCTACCTTTAATTTTAACAAAAGGTCCATTCACTCTAATTTTTAAGCTAACTGAGCTATACGTGATCTGTTGAACGTAAAATTTGATATGTTACGCTCTTATATGACAACACATGGGGGTATAGCATCCTTTTAATAACTCATCTGATGTGCTCTCCCTTCTCTCACATATCAATTTCCAGATTTTCCAGTATTCCACTTCTATCACTTTATGTTGTATTCAAACATACTACAAATTATAACCGTGATTATCCACTTGACAGTTTTAAACACCTAGCCAATAAATCTTCAAACCAGCTCCCAGCTTAATTCATAATCACTGCTATTTAATTTATCTCATTGTGCATCTTCTATCTGTAAAGTTTCACATTTGGCTCTACTTGTTATTAATAAATTCATAAATTTATTTCTGTTTTTAGAGGTGGAGTAATTTTGTTTTTGTGTCAATCACCCCTCAATTGTTTGACAGTTGAAAATTGTGCAAAAGAATGTGGTGAATTTGCTCATACAAGATATTGGCGAGATGGTATGTTTACAAACTCTTCAAGGATTTTCAAAGCGGAAACCAGATTACCTGATCTGTGCATTGTATTAAATACATTGAGCAGTACATCTAAGAACAATAGTGGACAACATAGTGTTCTCTCAGATGCTGCAAAAATGTTAATACCAACTATTGCTATTGTTGATACAGATGCTAATCCTAATATTGTGACATACCCAATACCAGGCAATGATGATACACCAAGTGCTATAAACCTTTATTGTGATTTATTTAAAAATGTTATTCTCAAGGCAAAAAAAGTTAGAAAAGAAATCTTAGATAAAAATAAAACATAAGTACGACGTAAAAATGTATTTGTATAAAAAGTTGTTGAAAAAAATTATAAAATTAATAAATATTAATTTACGTAAACTGCGTTGATATCTTCAAGTTTGAAAATGTTGATGTCTTATTCATTGATTGTCACGCAATTTATTAATGGTTTTGTAGCCGTAGAGTTCATACAATCTGTAAAATATAGTTGATTTTTTAAATATTCAAATAAATTTAAAAGAATTATTATATTATGACATACTTTGTATTCACATATTAGAGCATAATTATTTTGGTTTACACACTAAATTAAAAAAAAAATTAGAATTGTATTAACTAATAGATCGCCTGGATGTGTTTCTTGGAGGACCATGCTTTATTTTGAATAAATAAATTTATTTTTATTTTATTTTATTTAAGCTTACAATATAGGCATGTGCCCAATTTACAATTAATATTTAGTGCAATTAAAATTACAAAGTGTAATATGAAGGTGAACATAATCATTAAAAAAAATTTAGTTAGGTTTATGAAATGGAAAAGGAGAGGTCAAAATAGCCAATAAACATACAGCTCTAAAGTGGTTAATTTAAAAAATAATTAATAGAAGCAATTAAAAAGTGGTATATTTTATGAGTGAAGCATAAAGGGAAATTTAAAGGTAAAGAGAGAGTGAGCAGGTGGGTGACTCAATTTGTCCGTTTAATAATTTAGAAAGAAATTTAAGGTTACATATTATCTGGTGGTGAATAAAGTATGAGATGCTCAAGTACTGATGAATAATTTCAACAATTATTTATCGACATTAAAAAGTTGTATGTTATTTTAAAATAATTTAACTATGATACAGCCAAGATAGGTTCAAAAGAATATTGCTAATATTTTATATCAATAAATTTAAAAACAAATTAATTCATCGTCTTACTTGTATGATATCACAGGGTAATAAATTGTAAAATATACAATAAGAATAAATGGAAACTTTGCCATCCACGATTCTTTTAATTTATTTGCTATCGCCACACATGACAAATGTGCACATCTCTCAGTACTCATTCTGTTGTCTGTTGGCGAATGGGTCAATCCATATTTCTGTAAATTATTTAGCAATATTATAGACAAATCACAAACTTAAAGTTTCATCTATATTACTTCTCCTGGTTGACCCGTGAAGCTTTCTTTAAGAAAATTGCTAAAAACAGGACCCGGACATAAGAGAGTAATATGAATATTAGTATGCAATTTTTCTAGACGTAAAGCTCCAAGATAGCCCTTGAACAAACAAATATTATATTATATTAATTATGCACTTATATATAAGATATAAATATAGTCAAATTAACAAAACTAATGGTGAAGAATATTTTAAAAACAATTTAAGGTTTTGATAATTGTTCTATGTTAAGCAGGATATCTACCCTAACCTGCAAAACTTTTGAGTTGCATATTGTGTTAATAAATGTTTATTTAAAAGAAAAATAACTGTTATAAAAGTTATGCCCGCGTGAACGAAATACTTAAAACCAGGTGGGGTTTGTTGAAGGGATGTATAAGAATACTTTTCTCAGCTAAATAAGATCTTTATTTTTTACTCAGTTATTTGATTTTCAATAAGAATAAAAATAAATAAAACTTGTTAAGATACTTTAAAGGAAATTTTTTATTTTGAGATATCTTCAATAGTTATGAAGGTGAGGTTCACTTTTTTATGACCAACTACATATTGAGAGATAGACTGTTTTTCAATTTTTAGTAAAAAAATAAAGGTACATAATAATTTCTTATTTTCTAGTAAAATGTTAGTATAATATCTAACATAATACAATTTAATGATATTTCACCTTAACTCTTAAGTAGTAATACTAACTTGGCTGAAAATAAATATAAAACAGGATACAACATTAATTATTATTGATTTCAAACTTTCAGAATAGTTATTATTATAATTGATATAATTGGTAGTTTATTTAAGATAAATTTATTAAGAGTTGTTCTGTCAACAATAATAAATTATTATCTAAATTATATATGTCGACATTTTAAATTATTTTATGGTCATTACTAAATAACGTAAATTAAAAAATGTATAACCTAATGATTAGATTAAGGGATACAGCTATAGATCACTTAAAAATATTTAAGTTTATTTACTTACATGAAGTGCATGTTTAGTTGCATCATAGGTTGCGGAAAATGGAGCCGGTATAATTCCTGCAATACTAGAAGTGGCCACTAATTGACCCCGTCCGACTTGATTAAAATATCTTACAGCAATTCTTGATAGATTTATAACAGGAAATACATTTAAATCAAATAATTCTTTATCGACTCCAAGTTCAATTTCTTCCCACACAGCTCGTTGTGAACGACCCGCATTGTTTACAAGGATATCAAGCTATACAATTATACAAAGGTTATTGTACTATTATATGTTGTAATACTACCAGAACATGTATTATAAAATAAAATAAGAATATTCCGTAACATACATAAAATAATTATATGTTTCATCATACAAAAAGGTAAAAAGAACAATATGTTTCATAAATCTTTCTAATGTAAATTATTAAAAAATCACTGAACTTCATTTTAGGTCATAAAACTTTTAAAAACTAAATATAAATTCAAAACAATAGTATCTGCTAAAAATTTCCAAAAATGTATCAAATGTATTTAATGTTTTATTAATAATATTAATCTTACTTTGCCGAAATGGCTGATGACATTATCAAACAGTGAAATGTGTTTAGATATATTGGTAACATCCATCGGTAATACAAGTATATCATTAGCAGTTAGCTTTCCTTCACTAAGTTCTATGAATTTTACAGTACAAATTTTAAAATATAAAACAATTTATAACAAATCAAATGTTTTAAAAATTACCAATGCAGTGGTTTTTAACTTGGTATAATTTATCTTTACTTCTAGCAGACAAAACAAGCTTGGCACCATGTTTAGAAAGGTTCAATGCAATGTGTTCTCCAATTCCACTAGAAGCACCAGTAATCCAAACTACCTTATCTTTAAACGAATCTATAGTAAAATTAAAAATAGATGATATGTTAGAATAATAAAATATATTTGATGTACAATCGTACTACCTATACCAGTACCTACTTAAATATATTATTATGTATCAAAAAAATCCAATTAATTGTGAATAACAAAACTGTATTTATTACAAAACATAGTAAATGAATTGTGTAAAATATCTAACCACTTATAACCACTTCAGAGTTTAGATACTCTGAAGTAGTTGGTCGTTGTATTTTTTAATTTTTTTGTTGCTCAAAACAAAATGGGGATTTTTATCAAAACTCACCACTCCATCGTACACGAACCTTAGAATGCATATTGTTTAGGCAAAACACGATGTAATACAACTCTAAAGGGGGTAGTCCCAACCCTCAAAACTAATAATATGGATACTGCACGGTTATTTTAATATAGGTATCATATATATTTTTAAATACTGAAATCAGCTAAAATATGGACCAAGTTGAATACATTTTGTACACAAAATACAGCCCAGATATTATTAGATCACATTATTGTCATTAGGTCAGGTACAATATAAATAAAAAATAAAATGTTATGACATGTAGACTGATTGGAAAATTTTATATCCAAATAATATTCAAACGGGTTATTCATAAATAATTGTATTTACCTTTATGATTATTTAAATAAAAATGTATTGGAATAATATCCTACTCTTCACATGTAGGTACCTACCGAGATTTCTCTTGAACTTGTCATAAAACCAGAGTTCCAGATCAGTGTCGCTGGTAAAGAACAACAAGAAATACACTAGGAACTTTAACACCACAATGAGTCCGATTAAACTTAAAAACCCCATGACGACTCGAGACGACTGCAACAGGTCTGAATGTCGGATCGAGAATGATTGGAGAATAAATAACTACATCGACGGTAGGCAAGTACTTCCTATACACACGTCACGCTTCAACAACTGTTGGATTATAATAATATAATATTATTTTAAATCGTTATCGACAAAATACTGAAAAGGAACGAAAGTAAAAATATAAAACTTCGTAAGTGGTTATATTAAATATATGATAATATAATTTAATACAATCAGATATAAAGACATAACTGTGTAAGTATTCGATAGCATTAATTAATAATTAGTAAAATAATTAGGTATATTATGATTCATTGGGTAGCGGCTCGCATTATTCACAAAAAAAAATAATTGTTGCAAGCCGATTAAATTATTTATTATCATTAAATAGTAAATATTAGCACAGAATAGATTAAATTAGCATGCCCAGTGGTAGGAGGTCCGCAGATAAGATAACGGTGAGCGGCGGACGACGACTGACAAAGTAACTGGCAAGTGGCAACTACTATAACTACCTGTCTTGTTAGTTGTTACTGACAAATGGACAAATGGACAAATGACAATACCACAGTCTAAAAGTCTACCCGACCATTGTAGACCGTGGTAATTGGTGGGGGGGGGGGGGGTTAGGAGGTCAGCTGACCCACCGTTTTATTCTCAGTAAAATACGGATCCTCAAAATGACAAACTACATATAATTTATATCTATTTGAAAATAATATGTATAATATGTATAATATTCAAAAATAATATCAAATAATAATAATGTACAAAATTTACACAGACTCAAGCATGTTTCTATAAAAGTATAAAAATAAAATTATAAATTTTTCTGTTGTATATTATGATGAATAGATGTATATACAGTCGCAAAGACTAGATATAGAAGTTTAAATAACAAAATCGTGCTTAAGCTCAACAGCCTCAAATTATTTATTTATTATTATACACAATATACATTATATTATAATAATGTACCTAATTCGAAAAACCCGCGTAGTCGTAGACGACTTAACATACGCGAGGCTGTGAGACTTGTCTTTATAAAACATACACCGATACCATAGGGCGATACTGTTGTTAACATAAATAAAATTATAAGTTGCATATTTACTTATATAGATAAAATAATAAATTATGAATAAGCGAAATCCCTTCTCAAAATTATTTAAATTTTCCACGTACATTTGTTAGTTGAATATGCATTAACAAATAAAAATAACAATTAATTAATATTACCTAGAGTTTGTAAGTAAGTTGTAAATTTGACTTAAAAATGAGTTATGATTTATCACTTATGTAGTTATGTCATATACTCATATTGTCATAAAGTTATATTGTATGTCTGTATCAAAATGTGATATATACATAACTAATAACTAATAAGGTTAGTGAAAATCTTTATAATACATATTATTTTTTTAACAGTAATTAATTGAAGTTTTTACACGGTGGTCTCTCGTTAGTGAGGCAGACCCACAGTACTAAAATCCTAGGTCCATCGTCTATAAATATTGTATTATTGTGTCTATCACTATGCACTGTTCAGTATTCAGTATTCACCGAGATATTCACTAAACATAAAACGTCAATACAAATTACAATTATCGTCCAAAAAAAAGAACCGGTTTGCAACGCTCAACCAACCTGCCAAAATTATAATAATGAATTAAGAATTTATTTACTAAAGCTATTGGCACGCTCCGTGCGACCGTGCCTCCGTTTGGTTTTCCAAAGTACCTATACGCTATACCAAATACCATTATTATAGTTTTAGTGTTATGGTGGACATAATGTAGAGAGATAGGTCATAGTGACAGGAATACCAGCACGTCGCATGCGGGCAGATGAGTAATGTTCAATTTTGTCATTTCAGTACGTCTTACTAAGTCACAACTCACTAGAGAAATAAACATATAAAATTGCCTATGCCGACCCCTGGTCCTAGATGTACTATAATAGGAGTACCTATTAACTATTAGTGAATTCAAAGTAAAATGGTTTAATACACAAAATATGATCTTCATTTAAAATGTAATAATACACAATTCATAATACAAATAATAGGTTAGGTTAGGAAACCTTTTCTAAATTACCATAGCTATGTTCTTTAAAAATGTTATCAAAGTCCAATAACCCTCTTCAACAATATATCATCAATTTTTTTCTAGCTTCTTAACTTTTTCCAGTCTTTCATTTGTACTATTTGGATCGTTCATAATATTTTTAAAATTATTAATAGCTGTTAAGTATTCTATAAATAAAAATAAGAAATCATATATATTTTAATGATTTCTACTTTTCGGAATTTCTGATGTAAAACATATTTTGCTACCATCCAATATACTGCAATTCCCCATTTTATGGGGTTTAATAATTGAATACATTGAAAGCATGCGGTATGGTAATATAATTTCATAGTTAGGTTTATTGTTAGTTAATATATCAAAATTCTCCATAAATTTCTAAATATTTTTAATTATTTACTTAATATTTACAATCTTGATTTAATTTACTAGTCAAAGCATAGTCAAAACCACAATCATTTAGAAGACAATTGACCAAATCTATTGTTGACTTCAGACTTACTCTTAAATCTTCTGCTGTTTGTGTTTTGTCAAAAATTCTTCTTTCTTGATCATATTTTTATTAAATACTCCGAATAATATTGTGTTTTGCAATCTGAAATTTTAAATATATCGTGTCATATAAAGAAGTAAAAAACTCGAAAACTGATGACTAGGGAACGGATTTTATTGTAATAAAAAAAACCAAAATTTGTACATAAATATGTACTTATTTTTATTGAAATATGTAAAAAAAAAATCAAAATATGTAATATCTAACCGCTTAACAGAAAAAATAAGTACCAAAAGTAAGTATAAAAATTTTATCTCTTATCTAATTAATAATTATTAAAACAATGCGAAAATACATATTCTCTAAGATTTAAAAACGTAAAATGGCGGCGATTTGGTCGTAAAATGTTTGTATTGACTGAATGAACGTTACACATCAACTGACGTAATGATAGTTAATAACCCCGATTTTTCACAACATTTACAGTATAAAACTTTCCCATCACTTTGAAATGTTTCATTCGGAAATTCTTTTAAATATGCGGCTACCTTATTATTGAATGAACTTACAACATTAGGTATTTTAAACAATTTTATAAAAAAAACAACAAAATTTCGATGTAGATATGAAGAAAAAAACCATGCAAATGATTACTCCCGCCAGAACAGTAACTAGACATACACTGAAGATTGAAGACCGTAACATTGAATAAACAATAAACATGTTACCTACCCACTTCACACTTGTCCACAGTGTATAGTACGAATAGTACGATAGCAGTGTATAAAGTACGTAAGTCTTTTTTTTTCACACAATATCGTTGAAAAAATCGTATACTTGTATGTTGTATCATATAATATGCAAAGTGCTACTACTTCAACCAATTCACTTATCTCATTTAAGATTTAACTGCTTTTTAAATGTGAAATTATTGGTACGATATTCGACATTTATACGAATTTTTAGAAGACGTAGTATGATAAGAATATTCTTTGTAGTGCTTAAAATATTATGAAAAAAATCGGGGAAAGCATTTCTTTCATTATAAATATTTTCTTTAAAACAATGAAAATGTAAAGATAATTAATGAATAATTATTGATCACATCAAATAATCCTATATTATTTGTCTGGAGTCTTAATTGGATTTTCGTTTGTATTCATTAAAACAAATTTTACATAGCATAAACATAATATTATATATTGATAACATTTTAGTATTATTTTGCTTGTTGAATCTAATTTTAGGAAATATTAGAGAACAGAAACAAAACAAAAAAGAAATGAGAAATGAAACCATAATATATATATAAACATTTTTGCATTGAAATTTTAATTAGAAGTATGAAAATCATAAATAATAATTTATAATTATAGAATAAGACCAAAATTATTAAACTTTTATGCTCATAAAACTGTTTTTGTAAAATGTATAATAAATATATATATATAAGGTGGGAGATGATATAAGAAATTGCAACACAGCAAACAAAGCACTCGCCATAAACGAACAGATTAATTTCAAAGACGTTGTTTCTTATTAATAAGCTAAGATTATATTATTTAAATTGTATGCTATGCTAATGATTATTTTGATTTTGATTAAATCAGTTCGTACTACGTTTTGCTGTTTTATCAAAAATAATTTATAATATAATATTATTCTTGGTGTCATCTAAGATTCAAGTCTTATATTTATAAACATAAAAGCTACGGAATTCGTTTTCATTTCATCGAAATCAGTTGTCCTGTATTAACTGTACCTAACACAAAACAATTAAAAACAATATTTTCATCATCGGTCATTGAAGTTAATTATGTTTTTACCTTGAATAATTAATATTAAAAATTATATTAATTAAAAATTGTAATTATTATTTGTTAAGGTAAATCAAATTTGTTTTTGTGAGTATAAAACAAATTAGTAACCAGAAATATTTTGATCCGTTAAAAAAAAATGTATTCAAAATTCAAAAATATATTGAGGATCCATATATTGTTTAAAATTACTTTATTATATGAAATCGTTTTACTCGAAAACAAAAGTATTGCCAATCGTTTTTTTTCTTCAGAAGAAATAAAACAATGTGAAATTTTTAACTTTCTAATGAATCAAATTTAATATTTCAACTTATATTGTTATTATAGAAACTCGTTGCCTTGTCTTGACAGAGACTATTCGTCGTTGTGATGTTTTGTGATTCTTATGTACCGTGGTCTTATGCACCTACCTACGTATACAATACCAGTAAAGACGGAAAGAAAACGTTTTTTTTTTTTTAGAAAAATAAAATAATGTTCAGGTATCCACTATCCAGAGTAGGTTTACATAATAAGTAAATAATACAATTGTGTTAAAAAAAATAACTTACACTAGATTCAGATGCCACTAAAATTGATGAAGAGTTA